TCGCTCCACCACATGTACCACATGAGGTGCGAATGACAATAAAGAAAATAATATTGCATGAAGTTAGGAAGTGACATGCCTCCAAATCTGTGGGGCAGATGTAAGATGCTCATGACAATCTGTGGATGCTTTGTATTCCAAATAAACCCTGATATCTAGCTGTTCAAGGATTCAAAGATTCAAGAATTCAAGACTCTTTTGTGTCATTTGCATCACATGTGGGACATGAGGGGGAACAAATATGTGTACACAGGGTCCCAGTTACATCCATCAAAAGTATAAAACGTACAAGAAAAACAGTAATAAGGTCTAAGATATGAACTGAGAAAAACGTTAACTAAAAATACACTAAGCACGAAGTACAAAAACATGTAAGAGACTGGTTGTTATAGGATGAAAAGAGAATAAACAGGACACCATTGCTCAAGTATCTGTTCAATAAGAAACCAGGACTTGTTACATTGGTCTTTACTTTTAAACATTCTCATAAACTCCAGCCAGTGTGAAGAGGATGGCAGACCAAATATTTTGGCTGTTTTCTCATGTGTGTTTGAGCATTTAGGTGTCTCTGTGTGTTGTCGGGGTGGGAAGAGTAACAGTTGATACATCTGAGATAAGAAGCTGTTCTTCTGACAGGAGCTGTCACAGAATTAGAAGGGGGGTGGGTCTTTATCAATCAACCCTCCCCCCAGCTGACAATCAAATGGTCTGACCACAGCAACCAGGGCTCTGTTATCTGCAGAGCTGTCAGTTCTGGTTGAATGATGCAAATGAGGGAGGGATGAAACTCCATCCCTCCTGCTCAGTTATAACAAATGTGTCTTCTAGTTCTTAATTAAAGAGATCTTTTACGCTGTGGGGGTCATTTCGTTCTAAAGCATCTAAAGGTAAAATACTTCAACAGTTTGAAAGGACAACTGGATCCCTTCAAGTTGAGTATTTAATTTTTACCTGCTCTTTACATAAAAAACTAAATAAATGAATAAATAAACAAACAAACAAACAAACAAGAAAATAATGGACCTTCTTCCAAAGGTCTATATAAATGACTATTTCAATGTGTTGCCATCACTCCGTCATTAAAGATAAACTTTAAAAAAGATTTCAGAAAATAAAGTCCTGAGGGACCATGAAAAATAAATAGTTTTTTTTTAATTGTGGCTCTCATGCTCCAAAAACAGAACATTTTCAGGAAAAGAGAAAACCTACTTTGATTTAGAAAAA